GTGATGAATATCTTCCATCTTGAATTCTTAACTCCCCCCACTTTTAAAAGGAAATTCCCACTGCTAAACTGAGGTCTTCCAACCATATTTTCAGTTGCAGGCTGAGTTATTTCTACCTTCTCCTCTCTGTCAACGCTCTCTGGTTTCATTTAAAAGAGTCGATCATCAGATATTGTCCAAGATTAACCTTCAGGGTGGATATAGCTCGCTAGCAGCCTCGCACCAATGACCTAGTTGACATCATCATTTACCCAGAATGCTTTGCATGTAAATGGCCCCATCCACGTAATATATTTTTAAACTTTTAGTTTAAAAATGATAAAAACAAAACATCCTACAGTATTTTTACAGTCTTTATTTTACAGTTAAAATACTGTATATGTTTATCAAATAAAGTCTAATGTTACAACTAATCAGGGATCCCTTTAAGGAACACCGGGTGAATCTCATCCACCCCCGAAGTCCTGCCACCGAGGAGCTTTTTAACCACCTCAGTGACCTCGGCACCAAAGACTGGAGAGTCCGAACCAGGGTCCTCAGGCTCTGCTTCCTCATGGGAAGACATGTCGGTAGGATTGAGGTGATCTTCGAAGTATTCCGCTCACCGACCCACAACGTCCTGAGTTGAGGTCAGCAGCGCACCATCCCCACCATAAATAGTGTGAGCAACATGATTTATTAATGTTTTTGTAAACGTCTTGTAAACAAAAAATCAGTGTTTAACACCTGACTGACACAGAATGATATTTAATTTTATAATTTATGGTCATCAGTATCTCTATATCCCAAACAGTTGGGAGTACAGAAGTCTGCTGGTACTGACCTGGTGGGAGCTGTAGGAGGACTGACCATGCATGAGATGTGGAGGACAGAGACTGTACTGAAGAGGCTGCCCCAACAAAGAGTAACGACCATCACCTAAAGAACATCAAACACACAATAAAATCAATAACATTGAACTAGAATTATAGTTTTACTTCAAACTCTTATTTCTTTTTTTAATGTACACAATCTCAAATATAAAGCAAAGCATTAAAACAAAAACTTTTTTTCCTGAAAAATGTTGACAAGTTTAATTTTTAGAGCTGATTAAAATAACAGGAGAAAATCCTGAACGCTTCAAAAGCGTTTTGTTGTTGTTTAAAAGACAACTTGTAGCTGACTGTTGCAGCATTTATCCACTTTGGTGTTTTCAATAATAATGCAAAGAACCCATTGGTGATCTGACAGAAATTTCAGGCTGATGCAAGACCCAGATTCTATGTCTAATAGTGTCTGTTTGTCAGTAAAGACACTGTGGCGCTGAGTCATGTAAGTCAAAGGACAGGCACGAGGTGAAGTCATGCGTGGCTGCTGGAGGTTTGATCGGTGGCATGATGCCAGTCATGTGAACCTGTTGAGGTGAAGTGATATCACTTTTGGTTCAGTGCCAAAAGCCACCTGGCAAAATTTAGAAAGTTACTATGAAAAGAAAAAACATGACCTCGGASTGTAAAAACCAGAGCAGTAGCAGAGAGACATGCTCATTTGCTTGAAAAATAAACAAAWCAGATCTGTTTTTACCAACCAGATATTTTAAAATTTTGGCCATGATTCTAAAGGACAGATTTTACTTTGCTAAATACTAAAATTGGTTAAACGCTGCAATTAGGCAAACTTGGGGGTGGGGGCACTAAACTGGAAAACTAATAACCACAACACATTTCGCTTTAATATATAGTAAACTTCAGTAAATAAAGATGAAATCACATCTAAAATTTTAACGAGTTCTTTACTTTTTATTTTTTGTCCTAAAAGGTCGTCAAAATAGTTTTTAATATCGCACCATCCAGGAAGATTCGTGCACAATAATTAAAACAACCAACCAGCGTACAGAACCAAACAAGTTTCCTTTATCACATCAAATTTGTATTTGCGAGTGGCTGTGCTCAATTTATACTATGGGACTGCATTTGTACCAAGTACATTGCTGTAATGGAACTAATACTTTTATGTTTAAGCAAATAATTCATAACATCCTTTAATGACCTAGGTTTTCATGACATGCTGTTCATCTGCAGATAGAATGATTAAAGTCAGAACAAGATCTGGTAACAACAATAATCATTTTTAGATATCACTTGTGTTTATCTTTGTGTTTTCCATTGACCTTGTATGAAATCTTGCTAAGATGACATAATGGTGTTTGTTAATATACATATGAGGCCTCTCGAGTGGAGTGAACAGTGTTCAGCAGTAGAGTAGTGTGGAAAGACAGTGACAGAGAGAAGCAGAGGTATAGAGACAGGCCAGGTTGTTCTCTGTGTTTCCTGTTGTTGCAATAAAACTCAGCTGATCATATCACGGAGTACCTTCATTCTTGGAC